GTAAGACCACCTGAACCCTTTAACCCTTCACAATCAGGGATAACTAGTTATGAAGAAAAGAAACCTCCAGCTCACCCATAACTAAATGCATTAAAAGTAGACATATACGTAAAACTGAGATCAAATGCTAAATAGTGTGAGGATTATATGTAGTAATGTAATGTAATCCTCAACCTTTTAAATGACTTCCTGCCTACACTGCAAAGCATTATTTTTTACAAAGCATTATTTTTTAAAATAGTAGATTAGATTTAGTTTTATTGTCATTAGAGATGTACAAGTACAATGCAACGAAATGCAGTAAAAAAAAAAGAAGCTTCAGCCATGTTTGTGTATACATGGTCTAAGAATGTATACACAAGTAATACTAGTAAATAAGATTATTGCATATACTGCTGCATTTCACATGAAAATATTATTTTTAAATTATCAAAATAATAAAAATATTTTAATTATCATTAAAATGTTACCTTATGCTTCTTGTAAATGTTTATGAATATGCTGGCAATACTTTGAGTTTTGAACTAAAACCTTCCATAATGGGTAAATAAATAGAATAATAAAAAAAATGAATAAAAATAAATGAATTAATAAATAAATAAATAAATTAAATAAATGAAATAATATATAAATAAACAAAAAATGAATTAAAAATAAAAATACATTTAAAAATTACAAATAAATCTAAATAAATAAATATATAAGGGAACACTTAAAAAACACAATGTAACTCCAAGTGTTCCCTTTATTTTTATTTTTTATTTTCTTTGAGAAGTAAAAAAGATTTTAGTTTGAAACTCAAAGTTTTGCCAGCATATTGATAAACAGTTGCAAAAAGCATAAGGTAACATTTTAATGAAATAAATGTAAAATAAATGGAAAGTGCACCATAAACAGGAACTTTACATAGTTTTTTTTTTTTTAATTTTTATTTTTTTTGCATGGACAATATCAATCATAAAAATAAATCATGTTTTTTTTTAGATATGTTACTTGCTATGTTTTATAATAGTGACTTGTGCTTGTGTTTGAAAATAGATTCAGTAATTAATTTAGGCTACTGTCATATGTTAAGCTTTTCTCAGCCTAATTAAGTTTGCTCAAATCTTATTATATTAAATTATAATACCGCACTGAAAATGCTTTGTTTAAGTGGATTCAGAAAGTGCTTTGTGTTCTGCATTAATTAAAGGATCTGCAGTGTTCAAACTCTCCTGTGCATTGATATTGTGATCCCACATTAAAAAATACTACAGTAACCTACAGTAAATATTACTTGCATCTGAAACTGCATACTTCCATACTATGTTGTACACTAAAATCAGTATACAAGCCGAGTAGTGTCTGAATTCACAGAATTTTAAAATCAGTATGCGAGAAATACCCGGATGACTTATAACTTCCGGCGAGATTCTGAAGTGTGCATACCATGCACGCTGCGCTATCCTATGATGCCCTGCGAAAGGATATATGAATGGGATAGAAGTGACGCAATTTATGCGGATAGATCATGACCATGACAAAATGGTGGATGCAGTACCTGACGAGTACGTGGTTTCGGACGCAGACATTAGCCCCTTTCACACAGTGATACTGGTAAATGTCAGGAAAATTTCTGGAACAACTTTGCCAGTAAATTCAAAAAAGCGCTGTTCACACAGGCGAGGACGTTATGGAATTTTTCCGGAAAAGACCGTTCACACATCCTTTCCAAAATACCGGTATATTCTAACATAATTAACCAGAAATGAGCTCTAAACGGCTGAGCTTGTGTTTGTAAACATTTGACGACATTACAGACTGTGTGGATGGATCAGTATTGTGAACAACTTCGATGAAACATATAGAGAAACACTTTCGCATGTCGAGATGTAAATGATGTGTGTGTGCTGGCGCTCACTGACTGCTTCACGGGCACACGCGACACGTCAAGCAACTGAAGAAAACAGAGCTTGAAGGTAAACCAACAACGGCTTATCATGAGCATCTTATCGATAATTATTTACACAGTTGGCATTAAGAAGGAACATATAAATGTTATCTGACTAACATCTAGCAGCTAAAAGGTGTCTGGAAAAATATTCAAAAGCTTTTATTCTCATAAACCGCGCAGACGTAAATGCGTCTGACTGTTCTGATTGGCTAGAGTAAACGTCTTACGTCAGGACGTTCTAGACGTGCACGCGGTCTTTCCGGCAATCTTCCTTCTGCATTCACACAGCGCAGCATTCCAGCAAATTACCAGTAATGTTACAACTTCTCTTCCCGTAAAATAGCCAGAACAAATTTACCAGTATTTTCAAAAAGGGCCTGTTCACACATACACATTATCGGCAATTTTCCGGAAAGGTCTGTATGTGTGAAAGGGTTTTTGAACCATACTATACTTGAATTAATCTGTTGGGGTGATTCTACAGTTGCTACGGTAACACAATAACTATAGCAATACAAACAAATAACCTAATACTGTGGTTTTCTTCAATTATAGGGTATATTTTGACTCTCTGCGGTCGTAAAAAATCCCAGGATGTCATTTTAATAATAGTAGGGGTTTAACCCCTGCATCCTGGCCAAATTTGACCACTGGCCTTTGTCCATCATGACCTCCTAACCATCCCTATATGATAATTGGCTTCATCACGTCTTCTTTCCACCAATGAGCTGGTGTGTGGTGTGCGGTCTGGTGCAATATGGCTGCTGTTGTGTCATATAGGTGGATACTGCACACTTGTGGTGGAAGAGATTCATAAAGCGCTTTGAGTGTCTAGAAAAGTGCTTTATAAATGTGAGGAATTATTGTTATTATTATTATTCTTATTATTGTTGTTGTTGTAGTTGTTGTTATTATTATCAGTATTATTATTTTTATTATTATTATTGTTGTTGTTGTTGTTATCATTATTATTATTATTATTATTATTATTATTAATACTACTATTATTATTATTATTATTAGCATTATTATTATTATTATTATTATTATTATTATTATTATTATTATTATTATTATTATTAATTTTATTATTATTATTATTATTATTATTATTATTATTATTATTATTATACTACAATAAACCACAGTTTGCTGTTGTAAAACTAAAGTATACTATATGGTTTTCAGTACACTAGCTAATACTTTAGTATGCTAGAGCATTAACAAGGAGGTGTAAATATTACAATATAAAGCTTAGGTCAAGATTATTCGCCCTCCTGTCAATTTTGATTTCTTCTTCAAATATTTCCCAAATGATGTTTACAGATTCAGCATTTTTTCACAGAATTTTCTATAATATTTTTTCTTCTGGAGAAAGTATGATTTGTTTTATTTCAGCTACAATAAAAGCTGTTTTTATTTACTGATTTTTTTACATTTTAAGGTTAATAATAGTAGCCCCTTTGAGCTATGTTAGTTTTGAATAGTCTACAGAAAAAACCAATCTTATACAATAACTTGCCTAATTACCCTAACTTTATCCTAATTAACCTAGTTAAGCCTTTAAATGTCACTTTAAGCTGTATAGAAGTGTCTTGAAAAATATCTAGTCTAATATTATTTGCTGTCATCATGGCAAAGAATAAATAAACCAGTTATTAGAGATGAGTTATTAAAACTATTATGTTTACAAATAAGTTTGCCATTTCCAATAAACACAAATTAGAGCAAAAATAAAGAGGGGGGCTAATAATTCATCAGGAGTAGTAATGCTGATTAAAACTGTATACCATCTAATACACTACACTATAAAATGGTTAAAAACCCTTTGTTCTTTTATAATATCTGTATTTTCTTTTAATGCAGGGGTCTTATAACCTAATGAAACAAAGTTCAGGCTAACGAGCTGTTGGACGGAGGACGTTTGTTGTTTAACTGCAGAGCTGAGCTTCAAAATAATGTCAAATATGAACATTTACATAAACAAATTCATCATTTGCTCACGGCAGACAGGGAACGTGGAGCATTTGTTTCTCTCTCTCTCTCTCGCTGTCTCGCTCTTGTTAATAATAAATGATGGGACAGTTAATTAAAACGTAGTGTGCTTGTTGTGCCAGTTGTTAATGTGAAATGTGTGAAGTTTACTGACAGTTTTACGATCGTCTTCAGGTCAAAGATAAATACACAGCGCTTTTATTAAAATTCACATAATTATGCTGAAGACATTACGCCCATTACTCTGTGTGTGAGTGTGTGAGTGTGTGTGTGTGTGTGGCTGGATACCGAAAGCCATAGAGAGAGAGAGAGAATGTTGGTTTGTTGGCTGATTATGTGTTTCCAGCTAGTTTTACATCACAGTTTCTGTGTTGTTTATATTAATCAGGTATTAACGTGATCATCAGTTAATCTCTCATCATTTACTCACTAGTTTATTAGTGCCATCACACAATTAATCGCGATTTTTCATATCCAAAACAACATTTCAGGCTGCACGGTGGCGCAGTGGGTAGCACAATTGCCTCACAGCAAGAAGGTCGCTGGTTCAAGCCTCGGCTGGGTCAGTTGTTGTTTTTGTGTGGAGTTTGCATGTTCTGCCCGTGTAGGCATGGGTTTCCTCTGGGTGCTCCGGTTTCCCCCACAAGTCCAAACACATGCGGTACAGGTGTATTGGGAAGGCTCAATTGTCCGTAGTGTATGTGTGTGAATGAGTGTTTCCCAGTGTGTTTCTCAACATATCCTGGATACGTTGGCGGTTCATTCCGCTGTGGTGACCCTTGATTAATAAAGGGACTAAGCCAGCAATAAAATGAATGGATGAATGAATATATATATATAAATAAATAATCATAGCTATTAGAAAAAACTATTACTTTTTAATTTCTAAAATAATTAGAAAATAACTAAGTTTCTTTTGATTTCTGGATTTATTTATTTTTATTATTTATAATTATTTACAATTATTTTATTTTATTTAATAATGTTAATGTTAATGTTATCTAAAAAGTCTGATAACATTTCTTCTGTAAATACTTTATAGAAAATAAAAATTTAGTCATTTAACAATCAA